CCCAGATTTGATGTTCATTCTGTGACTTGATCTGAGTACCGCTTGCTGCAAGCACCATCGCGTCATACACTTAGCTACTGAGTCCCTACAGCATCTTTTCATATAACGCTCATGAATTAAGGCTATATCGAGGCCTACACACGGTATGCACATACGCCAATAAAAGACTGATCAACTGTAGTCCTGAACATCAATGAGAAGTTTCAAGTAAACAATACCAAGTGAAATACATTCAATATTATAATCTAAAAACATGCACTGTTCTGTGGAATGCCTGAAATTACAACGATGAAGGGACATTTCTTTGCAGATTGAAATCTTAAGAATTTCAAATTTATGTGAAGGTTATTACAAAAACTGATTCAGCAGTCTTTCTTGAAATTTTTATTCATGTATATATATCCATGTATAAGTAGGCATACTATTTATTTGGATACCGGTTTCTTCATTTCAAACAATACAATCGTCATATTTTGATACATTTCAATTGAATGATTGATGATCTCCGATATCACTCGATCATCTTCAATTGCCTGTTGTGTATAACTATTCCACATATGAAATAGTTAAACTCCACTGGTCATAGCTTCTCATTCGAACTTCAAGAGTTTCATCTAGAAGGTAATTACAAGTGAACACATGATTGTTATCAATATAGAGTTTTGTAGAATTTTTATAGTTTAAGTCACGAACTAATCTTAGACCATCAATTAAAGCCAAGAAAAACTGGAAAGTTGTTTTGTCCTAGTACAGAATCAGCAAACAGTGCACATTCACAACACTGCCTTAGGGAATCAAATCTAAGACCTTCAGTATTGTGAAGGAACGCTTAACGTCTAGATCATTGAGCCGATATTGAATGTTGTGCATATAAATGTACATGAAGATTGTTGTATAGTATCATAAAGTGATTGAATTTTAACCTGTACACCATTAGATGCGAGCTCAGTGACTTAGAGGTTAAGCGTTCGTTCATAATACTGAAGATCTTGTATTTGGTTCCCTAATGGCAATGTCGTGGATGTGCAACGTTGGAAATTTCCGTACTGGGACGAAAACATTCCCCAGCTTTTTTCGGTTTTTGTTGGTCGTCCAGCTAAGATCAGTTTGTGATTTCATCCACGAATATACACCATAATAGTTAACTGAATAATGACTCGACTTAAAATGTTCCAAAACTTCTAGTCAGAATTTATGACTGACAGAATTCAGAAATTTCTCAAGGGATTATTGCGCTATATCAAGAATTGACTGACTTTGTAAATGTATATCAATAGAGGGCGACTCAAAGGTTCTGATAGCTAAGCGGTTATCTTATGATTTGACGGTCGTTGGTTCGCACTCAGATGGGGTTGTGAAATGCATTAGATTTCGACCAGTTTTAGTCAGTATACATGCATCCTATGCAGACTGATTACACATAGTCATTACTTCAAAATGTTTTATGAAATGGATGAGACTACAGAATCTGTTGTTTTTCAAATATCAAAGATTAGTAAGTCATAATGTTGAATTATATCGTTTATCGATATCGTTATTTGGCAATTAATATGCAACAGAACTAAGAGAACTGAACTGACCCATCAAATGTAGATTTCTTAACTTTCAACTTATAATGGTTTGGAGTATCCCGTTGTTGATACTTTGACTGAATTTTGCCCAATCTTATTTGACATAACGGCATCTTTTATTACTTACATACTTACTTACGCTAGTTACTCCTCGTGGAGGAACATAGGTCGCCCACCAGCACTGAATTATTTTTTCTGATTAGCGTTTTTATTAGCGAGTTAGTTTTCTACGGGATGGGGTTGTTAAGCCCATCCCCAACCCTCCTCCTTTATCCGGGCTTGGGACCGACAGTATCCCTAGAAGAGCTACAGGCCGAGTTGTATCTTTTATGGCTTGTCATTATATCTTAATTTTACACAAAACAGATGAAATGTGAATAGAAGTGGAATCCAAGAAAAGCAAAATATTCTTTTTGAGATTTTTTATCAGCTATACTTATATATTAGAGTTGATTTTCATTTGGGATTCGAATCTAGTACTTCTCGCTCCAAAAGCTCAACATGTCATCCACTTAGCTACTGAATTCAAATAGTTACTCACTTGTGCATGTAATGTGTTTGATTATTTCCCTGAAGAAGTACAAACTAATATAAGGAACGAAACGTTAGCATTATTTTAATATCAGTCTCTAAAATTTTTCACAAATATGATTTCTTTTTGAATGTCATATAATTATTAACAAAAATGAGTGATGACTAGCAATGGAACCCAAGATGTACGTTTCGTCCTATTTAAGATTCGTCAACTGAATGTACCTGTATGCTAAAAGTTGATTTACACTCCAGAACTTGAACGTTAGACAGTTAGTCAGCTACAACGTGGGACAAGACACATATGTGCATCGATCCAAGTTGCCATACCTTATTAACACAACAAAATGAACACCGGATTCATCGAAGTAGTTAATTCAATGGTGATAATATATAAAAGAAAGATTGCATATAAAGGCATTGTACAGGAAGAAAGAATTAGTTCGTAGAAAGAGAGATATGAAGCGGTTTTAATCTCACGGTTTAAGGGAAGACAGAGAGTGTATAACCGACGCCATTGTGGTCAATTCTCAGCCATGTTACACAGAGTCTCCAACCATTGGTTACGGTAGTCACGCGGACCCCGACCGAGTAGTCTGCATCTAACAGCATGGCTCACACTATAAGTTGGTGACTTTGTAGACTGATCCCATGTTTTGGTTTAACCGCCTTTTGCATTCTTCCAATTATCTCCAACACTAGTCAGCATTGCGCATCGTAGTAATCAGAGTTCAGACATACGTAACACATGGCTCAACCATATTTGTTGATGAAGATTCATAATCTCATCAACTGATTTATCATCATTCTCTAATACCTTGCATCTAACCTCACTATTACTTACCCAATGATCCCAGCAGATATGAGCAATACGAATATCTTCTACTCTGAATGGCCATGTTTCACAGTCGTAAAATGAAACAGAATAAACGGACTCGGACCTAATGTAGCGAACACGAAAACCAGTGGGGACAATGGAACGTATTTGACAGGACTTGTTAATAAAATCTAATAATCAACTAGTAAATGCTTAATTTGCAAAATGTTCATCAATTGTCTCATAATAACTCAGACTTCATTGTTCTTGCATTTTCATCCAAATTGCATCCTGTTTCTATTCTTTACTGTTCGATCCTCTTGTCTATGTGCTGCCAGACCTTCTGTTCACGACTAACATCATATACTACTTTTGTCGATATAAGTAGCACATACCACACTCGTCCCCCCCCGTTTGAAGTAGTCGTTCTTGCGGTGGTTCATGCTCACCGTGCCACATTCTTTGTCTCTGCAGTCTATGCTACGCTCTCCGTCAAGATGTCGAGTCTGCAGCGCGCTGACCTCCATAGTTCCATCGACCTGTCGGGGCAACAACATCTGACATCCACCTGGCACCTGGGACACTTAACACTCATGCTCCACCAGCCTGCTGAGGCATCTACATCCGACGTCCGCCCAACAGCCGCACGTCCCTCCGCTCCTCTCCGTCGACATCATCTGCTACAACCAACGCCATCCCGCCGGAACACTCCATTTGACGCCACCCCTCTGCACCAGACTGCCACAACTAGCACCTCACCTCAATATCAAAATAATAACACATAATTATATACATATTTATTATTATTATTCACAAAGAACAAAATACTTTATCAACAAATGCACTCTTAACCTAAATACATAAAAATCAATAAAAGGTAAACACTATCCTATAGTGATCTTCTTCATTTTCAATGAACAATCAAAAAAAACAAAAAAGAAAGAAAAAAGAAAGAAAAAAATAAAGAAAGAAAGAAAGGAATAAAGAAATGCTATACATTGTGAGTAATTGAAATATACCTGTTTGTTTGTTTGTTTGTTTGTTTGTTTCATTCAAATAAACAAATTGTTATGTCTAACACATTGTATTGCTTGTTATATGGAATACAATTAGATCAATTCAAATGTTAGAACTTATTTCCTTAGTTATATAAAAGAAAACAGAAAACAATTGAAGAAGGATCATGATTTCAAAACAGTATTAATGATGTTACAGAATTGTTGAGTATTTATAGTTTGTTTTTTTAATCATAATAACAAAATCATCATCATCATCGTCGTCGTCATCTAATTCGCATACAAGGAATTATTAGCATTTGTTCAATAGGGAAGCTATATGTTGTAAAGATTTTGGAATATTGTTCCATAAAATGATGGAATGGAATATCTTCAAGTCTTTCTGAGATTTGTTACAGCTTCCTTAAATTCGCCCATAGATCATCCTCACATAAATTATTCAATCATAAAAACATTATACAAACAAACAGATAGATAGATAGATAGATAGATAGATAGATAGATAGATAGATAGATAGATAGATAGATAGGTAGATAGGTAGATAGATAGATAGATAGATAGATAGATAGATAGATAGATAGATAGATAGATAGATAGATAGATAGATAGATAGATAGATAGATAGATAGATAGATAGATAGATAGATAGATAGATAGATAGATAGATAGATAGATAGATAGATAGATAGATAGATAGATAGATAGATAGATAGATAGATAGATAGATAGATAGATAGATAGATAGATAGATAGATAGATAGATAGATAGATAGATAGATAGATAGATAGATAGATAGATAGATAGATAGATAGATAGATAGATAGATAGATAGATAGATAGATAGATAGATAGATAGATAGATAGATAGATAGATAGATAGATAGATAGATAGATAGATAGATAGATAGATAGATAGATAGATAGATAGATAGATAGATAGATAGATAGATAGATAGATAGATAGATAGATAGATAGATAGATAGATAGATAGATAGATAGATAGATAGATAGATAGATAGATAGATAGATAGATAGATAGATAGATAGATAGATAGATAGATAGATAGATAGATAGATAGATAGATAGATAGATAGATAGATAGATAGATAGATAGATAGATAGATAGATAGATAGATAGATAGATAGATAGATAGATAGATAGATAGATAGATAGATAGATAGATAGATAGATAGATGTGTGGATAGATAGATAGATAGAAGTGTGGATAGATAGATAGAAAGTTCGTCAGAAATATGGAAAGAGAAACAAACAAACAAACAAAACCTACTTACAATATTGGTACAATTTGATCATAACTTGGTGGTGGTGCTGTTGGTTCAATAATAAATTCGTCATTATTTACTTTAATCTCATTATTTTCATGATTATCTAAATAATTCATACTATTATTATTATTATTATTATACTGGAACGTATGTTGTAATGGTTGATGATTTAATGAATAACATTCAAGTAGACAATGATGACGATGATGATAGAGACCACGACAACGACGATGACAACAATGACAATGATGATGATCATGATATCGATGATCGTGACGACGACGACGACGACAACAACATTGACATAATTGTTTATTTTGATATATTTCATTTGTATTATTATTATTATGTAAATAACATGCTACATACTCTTCATGATTCTCATCATTCATATATTTCTCATTTTTATTTAAATATATATCAAGAATATGAGAGAAATGACGAAGTTGTTTATAATAATGTTCATCATCATCATCATCATGATCATTAATTTCATTATTGGAATGTTGAATAATCAGTTCATCTAATAAACATTTTATATATTCCTTAGGATTATGGTTATTGTTTATACTACTTATATTATATATATCAGTAGTATTATTAGTAGTAGTATTTGTATGATCATTATTATTATTATTATTCCATAAATAATCACAACAACAACAAGAACAACAACAACAACTTGAATCTACTTTATCATTTATCGATTGATCTAATAAATTCTGTTCAACATTTTCATGAATAGAATGTAATGCCAATAATCGATTACAATCGAAATGATCATGATCATGATTATTATTTCTATTATCGAATTGATTCTTTAATTGATTATTATTATTATTGAATAAATAATTTTGTTTTAATAATAGATCAGCTGTAGATAATTCCAATGATTTATGATCTATTATTGATTGATAATGATTGATTGATTGATATTTTGTTTGAAATAAACAATCAATAATTTGTAAACGTATTGATTTTTTTAATGAAAAAAAGATAATCAATAAAATAAAACTAATCAATAAAATACCAAATAAAAAACCAATCAAAAATATAAATAACCATGATTTTAACCATTTATAATATAAATATAATAATAAATGATTCCATTTAGTTTTCATATTTATATTATAATAATACCATCCTGATTCACTCCATTCATTTAACCAGGAAGGTAAGTTTAATCCACTGATTAATGGATTATTATCATTATTATCATTATTGTTGTTACTATTCATAGTTAATTGGTTACTATGTATATTGATCATTTGTGTATGACCTAAATGATTCGTTGTATTGAATGATTGATTAGTTTTATATGTGATCCACCAAAATGGTGCTAACCATAACCACCATGTTAATTCAATATAATAATGATCATTATATTGATTATTATGATTATGATTAGGATCAGGATCATGATCGGGATCATGATCAGGATCATGATATATATGATCTAGATCATGATTATTTTTAGTAAATAATTCCCATGTACCACGTAATAATTCTATAGAATTTAATGATTGTTGAAAATTTATTGTATTTGATAAATTTTTTATAGAAATTATTGATTTTTCTTGATAAGTTAATGAAGTTAACCAATTTAATTGTGACCAAATTTCTGATAATTTATATGATATAATCATATTTTGTTGTTTTATATTAAAATGACAACGTGTCCATAATTGATCACGATCAAAATTTTCTGTAGTTGAACACCAATAACCAATCCATGTTGGATAAATTGATAATTGATCATCTAATTGATTATTGATTATACCAGGTAAACAATGTGTGAAATTTTGTGGTCTACTTATGTCATGATGATGATGAGGATGATGATGAGGATGTAATGATAAAGTAGCTTGAAATGGGAAATAACATGGAAAACCAGGATCATTACCACCTTCTGTTTTAATATTATATAATAATTGTATTGATTTAGGACATTCACGTAATTGTTTTAATTCTGTATAACATATCCAATGTCCTAAATATGGTTGACATTCATAATCACTAGATTGTATAAAACCTCCTATATTATAATGATAATAATGATTAATTTGTTTTTTAAAATAACATGGTAATTGATATGATAATTGTGGACGACATTTTGTCCATAAACCATCATGATCAAAATTTGATGTGGTTGAACACCACCAATAACCACTTTTACCATTATCTATTGGTATTCTATCATTTACATGTTCATAGATTAAATCACCATCATTTCGAATACATGTTGTATATAAACGTTTATGATAAATAAATGGAAAATAACATTGTTTACCTGGTTGATTACCACCATATGTTGTTGTTGTCTCTGGGCATAATTGCCATTCTGGATAATGATCATAATTATCAGTTAATGGACACCACCATTTAGATGAATGTAATTGATTATTTATTATTACATTGGATTGTTCATCATTTGGTCCATTTATATCAATATGTTGACATTCATAAATTGCTTTACGTTTATATACTGATGGAAATATACATTGACGTTGATGTTTTATAGTTTTTTCATTCCAATAATAATTATTTATAAATTGTAATATATTTAATATAATTATTTTATAAAAAATTATATATTTTAAGCATAGTAACCATTCCATTTTATTTTTGTGTGTGTGTGTGGCTTGGATACAATTTACTTCACCTGTTCCCTTCCCTCCCCCCCCCGTCGGGTACTTTTGAATCGTCAAAATAACAAACTACACTTTTATACTTTTAATCGAAATATAATGATGACACGTTTTACTTCATGGGTATTTATACTTTATTCATTGAATAAATGAACCAATCAAATGATAGGAATCATTAGATATAGGTAATAAAAAAAAATAGATAAACGAATTTGATTGGTTGAAATGATTTTTATGGAATTTGTTTTATTCAGAAGGGGTATTGTGAAGATTTTAGAAATTTCACTCGTTGAAATCATGTGTCAGTTGAAGCAAAATCACCATAGGAAAATCTGGAAGCACTGAACGATTGTTTCATATTTGTATGAGACTTCAAAGTGGTATGCATCCATGATCCTGTTCGAGGGATACGAACCTAGGACATATCGATCTCGTGCGCCAACGCTTAACCATTAGACCGCTGAGCCAGTACCAAGCGATGTTAATGTGTAACTCCAACCAATCCATGAAATTGCACCACCGTACACCATTGTCTTCAGTGAGCTGATATGTCACAACCGGCTCAGTGGTCTAATGGTTAAGCGGTCGCGCTCGAGACCGATAGGTCCTGGGTTCAAATCTCACAGGGGGCGGGATCGTGAATGAGCACTCCTGAGGAGTTCCATATTAGGACGAGATGGCCGTCTAGTGCTTCCAGGTTTTCAATGGTGATCTAGCTTCAACTGACTCATGATATAACTGGTGAAATTTGTTTTTTTTTTTGTAGGCTGAATTTATTTAAATTTACTTGGGGTTGTTTTACTCGTATCCAGCTGACGAGTATCAAGTAAAGTGAAACGCGCGTCCACTGTTAGCCACTATCGACCTTTGCTGAAGTTTATTTTATTTTCTTACAATAAAGCACATTTAATAGATAGAAAATTAAAGACAACTGAAGAGTTTTACAGTAGGACGAAACGATAGTTGAATGCTTCCAGGTTTTCCATGATGGTTTAGCTTTCATTGATTAATGATATCAATTATTGAAATTAATAAATGAAGTTTAAAAGAATGTCAGATTTTCTTTTACTTATTTTCTTCTTATTATTATTAGACATTAATAGACATCATATGCTCACTAGTGAATGGCTTCAAAAGGTATTTCCTGGAGTTCTAATAAGAGGCAGTGACCAGTTGAGTTCATTCGGGTCTGCTGTGAGACAATGTTGGACGGCGGTGTAATTTCGTGGGTTGGTAGAAGTTAAACATTAACACCGTTGGATGCCGGATCAGTGTTATAGAGGTTAAGCGTTCGAGTGCGTTAGGTTCTGGGTTCGAACCTCACAAGGAGGAATAGTGGATGCCCACTGCTGAACAGTCCCATACTAGGATAAAAGAGCCGTCCAGTGCCCACGGGGTTTCTATGGTTATCTAGCTTCAGTTAACTCATGAATTCAACTATTAAATAATTGTATAAGTCGACAGAAAAGTTTATGGAAATTATCATTAAACATCTGTGTTCGTGATAGTTCCTTTTCTGTTATTTATTTATTTAAACACGAAATATTGGTACAAAGGGGCACAGAATACATATGCGCTACACAAGTCACTTGAATTGTGTTTGGGCTTTGATAATGTCCGAGTGCTCAAACCGAAACAGGTGGTTTTCTTAGGCGGACACACCCACAGCCATCGACTTCAAGGTCTAATCCACAAGTCAATGGAGCAACGTCAGGAGATACAGTCCTATGGTAGCCAGTGAACAATAGGTTCAGACGCCATTTGTACCTTCAGGATACTGGAGACTATGTGCACCATTGGTTCGGAATGAGGGTTTTCCAACTTCCCTAGGTAAATCCTCCATACCTACCAATCCGATTAAAGTGCCGAATATTCACATTTCAATCTACCAATTTCATAAACAACATTCCCATCACAAGAAGGCAGGGAGTAGGACTTCCCAGTCAGTGGTTGTAATACGTCTAGCCATGTGAGAGCATTTCGATCGGGAGTATTGTCTCTCCCCATTCTCGGCTGTACCAAAGCATTTGATAGTGTTCTTTCTTTGTCCATAAAGAGACACACACACACACTCTCTCCCTCTCTCTTTATATATATAAATATATATCTATATTAATTGATCTTCGGTAATGTCTCTTTACTTTTTTTAGGGTAATACAACTTTTAGTGAAAGAAAGGACATTTTCTTTCATAAATACACAAAAAGCAAAAAAAAACTATAAAAAAATCACATAGTAAACAGAAATGACCTTGAACATTGAAGTATCGAATGTGAATTTATTTCGTTTAATCTTCAGTTGTTTATAATAATAAACAAGTAAATATAGGGATAACTATCTATTTTCAATATTCAATATTATTTAGTTAATCGATTCATACTGACTATTTAAAGATAATTCTCTATGAAGATGACATCGTAGCACATCCCAACTTATATTATTTATTTGAACACATAGATATTGGTAGAAGGAGGCACCGAATAGATATGTGCCACATAAATTATTCGATTAGTGTGAGGGTTGGGATACTGTCCGAGTGCGCAAACTGAAACAGATGGTTCTCTTAGGGGTCACATCCAGAGCGTTCAATCTAAAAGTATGATCCACAAGGCAGTGGAGCATCGCAAAGAGATGCAGTCCCATAGCAACTGGTGACTAATAATTGGTTTATACGCCATTTGTTCCCTCAGGATCCAATTGCCCCAGGTGGACTTTCCATGTACACCAACCCAGTTAAAGCGTAAGATATTCGCTTTTTGTCCTCTCAATTTTGTAAACAACACACCGTGGCAAGAAGTCAGTGAGTAGGATTTTCCATGCAGTGTTTGTATACGCGTGGTCATGTGAGAGCATTTTGAGAGAAAGAGAGAGGTGACTGTCCTCACTCTCGGCCGTAGCAGGGCATTTGGGGGCCCCAACTTACAGCACAAGAAAAACTAAAGTCAGAGATCGAAACTGAATTGTTAACTGTATATAGATTGGATTAAATTATGCTTCATGCATGATTGTATTGGTGCATGATGATTGGCTAATACTTATCCAATCATTAGCGCTAGTCGATACTTAAAGTACACTCAAGAATATTCATATGTAAGAAAACTATGAATATACTAACGTTCTTCTTATTGTGCTTTTTACTTCCGTCTACCCCTTGTTATTTAGAATAAAATTTCTTTCCTGTTCAACTATGTTTGGATTTGGGAACTTGTCGAATGAATTAGTGTCCAAGAATATTAAGCAATAGGAATAGATTGTTTTGTAATAAGAGTGAATTATAACACGAATCTCCAGTGAATTAACGTATTCTTATATGAAGAGTTCACTCACTATTTGAACGTCAAAATGCAAGATAATGAAAAAAAACTGGACATTAAAAAGTCGAGGTGATAAAAATTCAAGGTCACGTAATCTAAACCACCACCCCCCTTTTAGAAAGATATAGGAACTCATAAATTCCGTCATCGAAAACCTCAGTTGAAAATTTTTTTCTAGATTTCCAGAAAGATAACCTCAATGTTCATATATACTTAACTAGATAAATCCCCCAAATGCCCTGGTACAGCCGAGAGTGGGGGGATTCAGCGCTCTTTCTACAAATGCTCTCACATGGCCACGTACATACAACCACTGACTGGGAAGTCCTACTCACTGGCTTCTCGCACCACGGGGTTTTGTTTATGAAATTGTGAGGACAAAAAGCGAATATCCTACGCTTTAACCAAGTTGGTGGATACGGAGAGTCCACCTAGGGCAATTGGAAAACTCTTATTACAAGCCAACGCTGCACATGAGCTCCAGGATACTGAAGGAACAAATGACATATCAACCAATTATTGGTTACTATGGGACTATATCTCCTGACGTTGCTCCACTGTCTTGTGGATCGGACCATTAGGTCGAAGGTTCCGGATGTGCCCCACCCCTAAGAGAACTACCTGTTTCGGTTTAGACACTCGACCAGTATCACAGTCCACATACAAACCGAATAATTCATGTGGTTCACAAGTATTTGGCGCCTTCTTGTACCAAAGTTTGTGTTTAAATAAATAAATAACAGAAATCCTTTTCACACATAACTAAATCATTATTAACTTGATAGCAATGTTCATTACACTTAACTAATGTCATTCAAACTCTGAAGTAACAAATAAACATAACTAGGTGTTACCTCTTCATTAATACACTTCATTAATCCAAAATTGAATAATAAAATGTATATACTACTAATTATTATGAATTCATTTTAATTCATACAGGAAATATTAAACAATAGTCTATATATATTAACGCATAATCTTAATGTTAATTATATATGTCCTTTAATTGAACTAATCTTCATTGTTTATCATCATTAAAAAATTGAAAACAAACAAAATGATGGATAAGTGGTATATACTACTTATAAACTTATGAATGAGTTTATTTTTAATTTCCCTACATTCCCCTTTTGTGAATGATAATTTAAAACTACATAGATGAATTTAAAATTGATTGATCACTGGATAGTAATCAATATTATGTGTGTCAGATCTTTCTTTGTGAAGATTGAATCCTATCTAGGATTTCTTATCGATGATCTCCAATCAGCATCTTATCTCAACATAGTGATTGCATGTAATATCAAGTCATCTAGACTAGTGTAACTTGATCAATAGGATTCGATCTGCATTAAGAAGCACCTGACACATATGACATTGATTACCACACAGTGATCAATCAATTGTAAATACATCTCAATCCTATAAGATGTTAGTTGTGGCCCAGATAGCTCAGTGGTAACGTCACTGACTATGAAGCTAGGTGATACGAGATCGAATCCGTTAGGGAGAATCAGGTTCTTCAAAATTAGATGTAAACCTTGTTGACGAGTGCCGAATAGCATGAAACCCGGGTCTAGGGTTTCCTGTCAACTACTTCCAACCACCATCATAGATAGGGGAATAACGATTTCGAAGCTATATCAAATTTTATGTGAATAACTATATCCATGTCACCGTAAATTTCAAATGAGACATTCATCAATACTTGAAGTGATAAATTTTACAAATTTCGAAGGTCAGTATTATCAGATGAACCATGTATGCACATTTTAATCAAACTTCTTTAATGGTGAATTTGTGAATCGTGTCAAGTAATGGAATTCACAACTGATTATGTTTTATCCTATTTGTCACTCGTCATTTGAATATGTCAACTAGTTAATGCGAATGTATACAACAAAAGTTGAATGTAGTATATGTCGCTTCATTAAGTGACTGTTGGGTCGGCTTCCGGAGAACTTCAACGGAGCCTCCAGAGGCCCACAAGGAGCCGAAGAGTCCTGGCCAATCAGAGTGTGATGGAACGTTCTAGAATTCCAACGTGGCGTGCTACTATTGGTCGGTAGCATAATGTGTTGTTATCGGATTGGCTGTAAAATGATGTTGATTTAACAGACGCCAAAATCTATAAATACCCATGATTTTCTGCACAAAAATGAACATTGGAATAAAGTGCTTTCTCTCATTCTTGTGTCTTCTCTCTGGAGTTCAAGTCGCTGTGTAGTTCTAGACTGCGGGTTATCGGAATAGCTTAGGAATCGTATATAGCGTTCAACCTACACGACTTATCAGTGACTAAGCCTAAGTTAGTAATTAACTCATTCAATGAGTATGATATCCAGTATTGGTTATTATTGTAGTTGATATTCAGGACTATATTCCATCCTAATGTCATGTTTTTGGTCATAAATTTTTAGTATATTGGAATTGTGGCTAACGGCAGGCAGCAGCGTTACGTCCTGCTTGAACCATAACGTTAACTGTATCAACAATGGATATCAGAATGTACACTAAAGCGTTTATATACTTATAGAAACTAATCAATTATAGTGATCTGTATTAATAACGGAGCATTGCAAACATATTAGATAAATGAAAGGTAATTGGAAATCGGATTATTTGAAGTGGAGATTAATTTAAATAGATGATCATTTTCTTTTTGATGGAGTTTTGTTCTCTGACCTAGATGGTTTGGTCGTGGAGCTTTCATCGTTCTTCTGAACGACATCACCAGCACAAACTTCAGGTAGAAGTGAAGTATTCGAACTATCGAAGAGGTTAACAATAAAGAACGCTAGAACTTTCATACAACCCAATTGGATGGCATGGTTCAGCCTTCCAGGCGTTGTCACTTTTATGTATTTTATCTTTTCTATTCAAACTAAATATATTGTTCTACGTGACATTTGTAGTGATGATGTCCTGCAGAAGAACGATGAAAGCTCCACGACCATCCAGCTCAGAGAAAAAAAACTCAAAATCATTCACCTAAGCTGAAAATCTTCGTCACCAACTCAAAATCACAGTACGTTTCTCGTGGTTCGAAAATGATTATTTTCGTCATGAATCGACATAATCTGAAGAACCATTGGGACTATACAGCATCGGAAAGTTGTTTAATCTTAGATTGCGATTGTTCATTAGTAAAAAACAGTGACCATGTCAAGGATCTAACTCAAAATATTCATCTCTTACAACCACTAACTTGGAAAATAAAGGGTCAAGTCTCCAAACTCAGTCAGTCTGAAAACTTATGCTATAATCATTAGATGTTTCGTACCTGATAGAATCGAATCTCTACAGTAAAAACTTACTTAGAAGTCTATAGCCACATACCAAATGACCACTCAATTGAAGATAGACTTTACGTCATACAACGATATCAATTCGAAAACAATGGAAGCTCAGAAATATATTTCCAGGAAATCTTATAGGAAATAGAGACTTTCCAAGTTTAAAAAGGCAAGAGAATGAGACAGTATCTTATGGACAATACAGAGCCAGGACCGCGACATATAATGGACATTGAATGATAGTGAGATCATATGAACAGTGGGATATATACCAAAGCATTACATGTAATCATCGTCAGAGTAAGACTTGAAGGTGACAGATTCTAAATCATGTAAAATTACTAATGGGTGATATCATTCGAAGTCTTAAATCGCGACAAAACAGCTGTCTAGTAATACAGTTCTGTTGCCATTAAGGACGTTTCTCCACTGTTTGACATTTTAACAAGCTAATTTTAACCCAAATACAGAAAAATTACATAAGCATTTTCCCACAGAAATTACTTGTACAATTAGTTATCCTTATTTTCAGTTGATCAGTAAAGGATTTAGAAACCAAGAAGGCCTGAAGGTCCTGGATTAGATTCCTGGTACATTAATAGGTGAGGATTGCTCAAGTTTTATGTTAAAAACAACTATACAATGTCCCCTTATTTTTAATGTCTATCAACGTAGAATCAGTCTGTGATCTATACTATAAAATGGCAAATTATTCTAGGCTCTCCGAGGACATCAAATTTGTTGGATTTGCGAAATAAATAGATAATGAGCGATCAAACATTCCGTGTAAATTGATTTTTCAGTGTTAGCCTACTTATCATCTTTATAAGTAGTTAGAACTGTTCGACTTAATTTGTAGGCTTCATACATAACTAGCAATGGAGGAACCACATGCAGATAAATGTACTCGAATGTCTGCTACACTTTAAGTGTAATCTTCATCCTATTCTGTTAAATCAATAACGCATAACATTTCAATTTAAAGAATCATTTACTTGAACAAAGAAACATCTATAACTAGCAAGAAAACACGACATTGCGATGCAACCCATAGGTTCGATGTTAAACAATTGGAGGTGATCAACCAATATAACATGCCTAAAAGACAAATCTAGAGATTTATGAGGGAAGTGATGTTTCTCATGAAACCAAACGGACATCATAAAGTATTATGACCACAGAAATTACCATTCGGTTAAGAGATTTTGTTTCGGTTTCCCTTCCAACTATAATAACATCGAATAATGTCCATAGTCACTTCTACTAGGGATCACCATGATTAAGGTTTGATTAGAACTAAGGATTAAACAAGTATATCATCGGTCACAATCAAGTAATCACATTGTCTTGTTGAAAAAGAACTCTCAAACAGAAAATGAATTCATTTGAGTTAAAGACATTTATTACAGATATATCAAAGGAAAAGAAATATGTACACATTGGAATGGTAATATAATCTGATATTAATTCTGTAGAAAAATACAAAATGATAGTGTGAAATACTATACTGTTTCTTTTTTCTTGTATATGCAAAGAAAATTAATCCCAAAGACGTATATTCCCATCCCAACCGGCAGTGATTACTTTCGATGTTTCATGTGGTAACCATGCACAATTAATGCATACACCATCATGTGCTTTCCATTTTGTTAATAATCTAGTTGTTTTCCATTCCCATAAACATAAATAACCATCACCATCACCAGAGATTACATAACGCATATCTGGTGACATATCTACAGTACATGCATAACCTGACACCATATGACCACGAAAGATTTTTTTACGCATACGTTTAAAACCAGCAAATATATTAAATACAACTAATTGATTATCAAGAGATTGACAAATTAAATATTTCCCTGTGAAAAATAATTAAAGGAAAGAATTATGATTTGAAAACTAAAACAGGAATGACAACAAATTGAACGGCTAAAGTAATGAAACTTATGTGTATTACGTAATCTTTGTAAATAAATAGTTAGTTGGATGGATGAATAGATGGATCACCCTCTCTTAACATTGATGGTTACACTTTTAATTGGATATTTTTCTCGTTAACATTAATCCTACGTGCATCCCCGAATGCAACCGATGGATGGCAACATGGTGTTGAAGACAGTTCGAATACGCCTCCTGAACATGGCTTCAGCAGGAGACTTGCCATTTGGAACATTCGGGTTCGGAGTACCAGAGACCTTAAGTAACGGATAACGGCTCGCAATTCGTCGCAGAATCGTTTAAGCATTTCTGTAGAGCAAATGGAATAACTCATCTTCGTTCTCGACCCTATCATCCGCAATCAAACGGACAAGCAGAACGCTTTGTGGACACCTTTAAACCAGCATTACTACAAGGGGGGACGAAGGGACGACTGGACAGGTAATCACAAAATTTTTAACATACTACAGATCCATCCCGAACCCGAATGCTGGAGATGGCAAGTCTCCTGCTGAAGCCATGTTCGGAAGGCGTATTCGAACTGTCTTCAACGCCATGTTGCCATCCAAATTAGTGGATGAGCGCAATCACAATCCAAATATTCGGAACTTTAATGTTGGCGACAAAGTTGTCATTGAATCATATATCGGGAAGAACCGATGGGAGCCAGGAGAAGTTGTACAAAAATTGGGAAAAGTTCTGTAGAGTCCGAGGAACTTTTGAAACATGTATTCGACGCACAAATCAAATCTATAAGGACAATCTATAAGGACAGTCTCGAAATAACCGGCCGAATTTTCCGTTAGAGTTAATCTTAGATACATCAATGCTACACATGCCCAAGCACACCGAAAAGAAGCCTCGGACAAGGCAGACGACAAGAATAATGAGACGCCGCTGCAACCCAGTTGTCAAGCTACAAGTAGATCCTAGAAAGAAATCTTATCCGGGGGAGGTGTTGAGTCGGCTTTCGGAGAACTTCAACGGAGCTTCCAGGGGCCCAAAAGGAGACGAAGAGTCCAAGCCAATCAGAGCATGATGAGGCATTCTACAATTCCAACGTGGCGTACTACTACTGGTCAGTAGCATAATATGTCGTTAACGGATTGGCCGAAATATGATGTTGATTTAACAAACGTTAACATCTATAAATACCCATGTTTTCTGTACAAAAACGAACCTTGGAGTAAAGTGTTTCTCTCTTACTTTGCGTCCTCTTTCTGGTGTTCAGGTCGCTGTATAGTTCTAGCGTGCGAGCTATCAGAATAGCTTAGGAACGAATATAGCGTCCAATCAGCAAGACTTAACAGTACTCACTGCGTTCTCGCACCACGGGTTTCCTTCATGAAACTGAGAGGACGAAAAGCAATTCGTCGCAGAATCGTTTAAGCATTTCTGTAGAGCAAATAGGATAACTCATCTTCTTTGACAAGATAAATAAATCTTCCTCTTTGAGTACATCAGGATTAATGAAAAGAAATACTTTGGAATGGGAGAGAGTGAAAACAGTCCTCTGTCATACAGCCGTAAGTCGATAGTACCTGTCAATGAAAACCTACTCAACGGCTTCACGTCAAGGGAATGTTTTATGAAAATGAGATAATAGAAAGCAGATGTCTGGGACTTAAATTAGGTTAAGAAATACAAACAAACCATTCAGGCGGGTTTGTAAACCCTGATTTCAAATTAACAGCATGTGTAGGTTCCCACTGAAAACAGTCAACCACTAATTCACCACCATGAAGCCTGGCATATATCTGAGTCAGCTAAGTTACCATACCACACCAGACAAAAGATGAGACTAACACTGATTAGCAGAGGAGTCCAAATGATTATACTATCAAAAATAGTCAGAAAGACTGAACACTATAGGTGAGTTTAAATAATGTAAAGTAAGAAATAGGGAACTTAAGGAGAGACAAAATGTGAATGCATCTCTGCAACTGTATCCGATTTTGATTCATATCACTCAACACCTGCAAATTACCGACTATGCTTATTTCACAGATCTCAACCACGTAGTGTCTGTGTGGTGTATACTATTAATCTGAGACCAAACATTGTGAAATTCTAACTTCAATCAACCCATGATATTGCGCAACCATGCTCCATTGTCTTCAATGGATACCTTCCTCACCCGCGAAGTAATAGAACTCCACTGGTCACAACTTCTAACCAGAATTTGAGGAATTTCCTCTCGAAGCTAATCACCAGTGAGCATACGTCTGTCTAGTGGTCTCCAGTTTACAATAATTGTCTAGCTTAGATAGATTAATGATATCAATAAGATTCAACAGTCTTTACAATCGCATACTGATAATTAATGACTTCACAAACTGATGTTATATCTTGCTTTAGCCGACTATAGTTTTCTCATAACTTATTACTACTCTAAACAACATTAAACACATGTATACGAGCACAGTAACACGAAAAGCAAATTACTCCTCATTTCATAGATATCCCCATTAATTTCGTTTGCATTATCTTTATTCTTCTTTCATTCAACTCACTTTTTTGTGTAATTTTATACTACTTATTAATATTCAGTGACCGATTACAGTTTTGAACATATGATGTAATGTACGTTTGTTTATTGTGTAATAATCTTCAATATTTAGATAAACCAAAAAGAATTATTAATTTCCCTTAACCTATGAAACAGTTATTTTCAGTTTTGTACATTTCTTGAATCTTTGTTTGAACACGGCAGCTTTCATATTTGTGCACTTTTAGTTCCTATTTTGACTTTTAATAGTCATAGTTGACTTTAGATACAACTACCTACCGGTTGTCATTTACGCTAGTGAAGTCTTTGTCTTTTCAAACATAAAGACAAGTTAATTGCTACAAATACCATATAAGTTGAGGTTTGTGACTAGTTTACATATATTATGTATTAATAAGAACATCCTCTAGAAATATCATTGTTTAGAACATCGATTCCACGCATATCTCAATTGTGTAGTTTAGACGTTTCGATGAGAATATAATTTATGGACGAACCAATCACGTATAAGATAAAAGGCTTCGGAATTTGGCGTGATATTCACTCATCCATTTGGTTAAATAGTTTTGGCATTATAACTGATGTCAGTTCGTGAAGAAAACCCTAAATCTAATTCCTCACATTGCTTTACAACCCTCATTTGGTCCTAGTTATTAGGTGGACACTCTCAAGGCCATTTTATTGCCACTCAAAGGTCATCCATAAATTGCAATCTCACCGACGTTCCGATGAAATTAACAATAAACATACATCATAAGTAAGCAGGATAAATATAAAAATGTATATACATACCATTCGGTGAAACACTAACCGCTGGCATTGAATGTAAAGACGGATCAGCAAGATATTTAAAATCCACTGGAATATCCCATTCCCATACACGTAACGATTTATCATCGGATGTTGAAACGAATCTTCTATTATTATCCACAAATGCAACAGCATTGACAGCGCCTAAATGACGATCATACTGTTGGACAACTTCACCACTACGCGTATCATACTGTTGTTTGTGGGGGGGTTGTTTATTTGTGTATATGTATGTATGTGCATGGAAAAGATAACAAGAAGAGGTAAAAAATAACAGTAAACGAAAAGCCTTGTTAATAAAATGCAATTACTATGAAAACAACATACAACCCTTATTGGAGAAAATGATTCAGTCAGTCAGTAACAACAACAATGTATAAACAAATACTTCTCTTTCAGTGTACTATACTTGCTAACACAGTCTTTCATAAGCTATGTAAAACCTGATGCACATCCACATAGGTTCTAGTTGCCACACCATATAATATGAACATAATGGTAATGGGAAAGATTATGTGGTGAGGTTATAGCTTACGGACGACCTTTGAGTGACGCTAAAGTTACCTTGAGAATATTCATCCACTTACTAGGGTTGAATCAGGGTTATAGACCAGTGTGAGGAATTAAGATTATGATTTTCAGTTGATGATTAAGGTTAGGAATTAGATTTAGGGTTTTCATCACAAATTGACATCAGCTATTTAGACAAATAGGTGAGTGGATTTCGCGACAAAATCCAAGATCCGTAATCCTAAATCTGACTGGTTCGTTCATGAATTATAGTCTCGCCGATTGAGCATAGACAATATAATTCGAAGAACACCGAAGTTAAGTTCTTAAAACTAAAGATTTGAGATAAGGTAAAGAGTGAATGTCTTTGAGCTAATATAATTGATTTTGAGTCATGACGCATGACATCTTCAACAATTGGTTACGATAATCATGTGAATTCCAACCACATAGTCTGAACCTGCCAAAATAGCTCAATGCAACAGTTTATGACTTTCGTGGATTGGTGCTATGTTTTGGTTTGGGCGAACTCTATCATTCATACAATCTCATCCTGAACCGAACATCATTATGCAGCATTAAGGTGGACAATAGTTGATTTTCTTATCTATAACTTGTATTTCTTGCTATAGCGCGTACAACTTTAGCACTCGAACGTTTGAACATTTCAAGTCACAAGTTGGAAGACAGAAGACGAGAAGGAATGAATTTATTCCAACAGTGTCAAATATGTTACAAAACACTCAGTTTTTAGTAAAAACGAAGTCATCATTACAGTTATCCAATCCGTATACACTGGTTTTTAGCACTTGTCCAATCGGGAAGCTGTACGTTGAGATTCTGGAATGCTCTTTCAAAAGACGATTGGATGGAACCCCTTCAGCTCTTTCAGAGCTTCTTTGAGTTCACCGGGGATCGTCCCTACATTAGACATACCTAATACACGATTCAACCACCTCAGTCGATGAAGATTCATATGATCAATTAATTCACCATGTTAGCCTAGTAGCCTGCATTTAATCTAGCCACAGTTCCTTGAGTGATCAATATTTGCGAGCACTATGTTGAAGACACACAAAGTTAAACACCGGTAAAGTACGTATGCCATCTACTTTTAAAGGATATGTTTCACACCGTTAAAGTAAACCGGAGTGAACATCTGAGCAGTATACTAGTCCTTTGGTTGGTGGATGAACATCTCACGTACGACATTGGAGACACGATTTGGTAAAAACCAAACGAACTTTGTGAATCCATTCCTACATTTCGTCAAAACCCAACGCAACACGACTGATAAGACTTTCAAGATAAGCGAAATGTTCTAGGTACTAAACTACTTTACTCCCTATCATTAGTTTAAGTACTAATGTAAACCAGTTCTGAAGCAACATTTAGCATTCAGAGAGAGTGTAACTCTTCATAAACAGGCTTTTATTGTAATTCAAAGCAATCGAGCAACTGCGTTTTGTCTTCGTCAAATATAACAATGTGATTTGTGTATTCAATAAATGAATCTTCCTGTCGGAGAATGATTTCTGAAAAGTCATACAACAAAATGGCCCTCAAATGCCCTGGTATGGCCGTGAGTGAGGAGAGTTAGCTCTTCCCCTCAAAATGCTCTCACATAATCATTCGCATTCAACAACTGCCACGGAAATCCTACTCACTGGCTTCTCGCACCACGGGGTGTTGTTTACAAAATTGAGAAAATGAAAAGTAGATGTCCAGCGCTTTAACCAGGTTGGTGGACATGGAGAGTCCACCTAGAGAAGTTGGAAAACCCTCATTCCAAACCAATGATGTACATGGACTCCAGGATCCTGATGGAACAAATGGCGTACGAACCAATTGTTGGTCACCGGCTTCCATGGGACTGCATCTCCTTACGATGCTCCACTGCCTTGTGGATCAGACCTTCAGGTCGAAGGCTCCGGATGTGGCCGCCTAAGAAAACCACCTGTTTCGGTTTGGGCACCGAGGTGCAATGGTGAGCCTCCACCCGGGATCAGAGCATTCCTGACTACCCAGAACCCGGCGCCAGGTAAGTTTAAGCACTAGTCAATAGCCTGTCGCCCGATCATTCTCAACAACATTGCAATAAAACCACTCTCTGCAAATTAACACTGCATTCCCAATCCAATTATTGATCACCAGCTACCATGTGACTGCGTCTCCTGACGTTGCTCCACTACCTTGTGGATCAGACCTTTAGGTCAAAGGCTCCGAGTGTGGTCTCTAAGAGAACCATCTGTTTCGGTTTGGGCATCCGGACAGTATCCCAACCCTCACACAAATCGAGTGATTTATGAGGCACCTATCTATTTGGTGCCTCCTTGTACCAATGTTTATGTGTTTAAACAAATAAATAATAAATAAGTTTAATATATATTAAAAAAGATATACCACTTACACATAATATTTTTTTATCAGCACAACCAACTAAAAATAAATGTTGTTTATCTTCATCTGGATTAAATTGTACACAATAAGCAACACGTTTTAAATTGAATTGATTTGTACATTTACCAATTTCTGTATCCCATAATTTTACATAACGATCATAAGATGCACTTAAAAATGCTGTTCCATTACTATTAAATGATACATCACGAACAGCTTGACGATGACCCATATAACTACGAATTAATCGACGTTCTTTATATAATTCCCAAAGCTATCAAGATGAATAATGTTGAATGATATAAATAAAAGGAAAATAAAGTCAATGTAGTAGAAGTGGTAATAGAATCAGTGGTGATAGGAAAGATTAGACATAGAAAAAGAAAACAAGATATAAGGAGCCTTTGGGACTCAGGTTTTAAAATACGCCTGCATCATTGAGAATAACTCTAAGTCGTATCACCCAAAATCTTGGACCATTGGTTACAGTAATCAAGTAAACCCCAACCAGGTAGTTTTTACCTATTAAAATGACTCGGATCGATTGTCAATGATTTCATGAACTGATTCAGGGTCTTGGTTCAACCATTCGCTTTGTATTAACATATGGAAGAGAATACAAATGAAAAAATACTTCGCCCCCAAATGCCCTGGTATGGCCGAGAGTGGGGAGAGTCCGCTCTCCCTCTCGAAATGCTCTCACATGGCCACGCGTATATAGCATCTGCCAGTGAAGTCCTACTCACTGCCTTCTCGTGGCGGGGGTGTTGTTTACGAAAGTGAGAGGACGAAAAGCGAATGTCCGGCGCTCTAACCGGATTCCAAATCAATGGTGCACATGGGCTCCAGTATCCTGCGGGAACAAATGGCGTATGAACCAATTGTTGGTCACCGGCTTCCATGGGACTGCATCTCCTTACGATGCTCCACTGCCTTGTGGATCAGACCTTCAGGTCGAAAGCTCGGGGTGTGGCCCCCTAAGAAAACCACCTGCTTCGGTTTGAGCACCCGGGCAGTATCACAGCCCTCACACATATCGAATGAGATTTGTGTGGCGCATATGTATTTGGTGCCTCCTTGTATCAATGTCTATGTGTTAAAATAAATAAATAAATAAAACGTGTCACATGAAATCGAACTTGAACGACACTCAGATGTCACGGTGACTGTGTTTAGTATTTAGACCATTAAGTTTCAACTTAATGGTTGTCATTTATAGCTTAAATCTATTCAAGATACAGTATGCTAATTGTCCGATCATCCCTATTGTCTATGGTATCACTGGATTCCAACTCAACGAGTCGTCTGAATATTGAATTTACAGTGAAATATATGGGTTTTGGATCCGACCTCAGGTGAAATCATAGATGTGGGAATAGTTAAGGAGTTCCACACTAGGACCTAAAACAACTATCCAGTTCTTTTTGGCTCTCAGTGGTGCAGGGAGATCAATCTGTTACGAGCACTATCTACATTGGAAGTAAACTTATCAATATCCTCCAGTGAGTTGCGAGATAACCCTGAGAGGACAAAGCAAATGATTAGCTAATCAGGATCTAGGTGACATAAACAAATAATTTGTTAAAAACAAATACAATGATGGTGAAGATTAGAGTTAGATCTAGAGTAGGAGAATGCTTTGTAGTAATATTAATGAACACATATCCAGATAGTCTTTCGATTGCAAATCCCAGGTGCACATTAGTTCTCATGAAAATTTTATAAATCGTGTTCCGATGTTACATTTCTGTCATTTGTTCCAAACTCATGATCTTAATAGTCATTTAGATTTGGTTCTATTCTTTCGTCTTTCCATGTTTATAATTTGTAAACGTCAAGTTTAACTATTTCTTGCTTTAGGCATAACAAAATATCTTTTATGGTGTTTTGACTTTACGTAGAACTACAAGAGCCAACATCTTATTGATCCATCAGTAGAGTATTTTCTACGTAAACTAAACAAATTTCTACGAAATTCCTTCATTAAAGCGAATTTATTCATCAAGAATAGTGTTGTTGGCTTTTTATTACAAATCATCCTGCTAGTAAATAATGTCAATTTGTTTAAACTAATTGCTTGTTTAGAATCGAATTCTTTTATAGTACTAGCGTGGAGCCAGCCAAATCGGTAATGAATAAATATTCACTTACCAGGCACACAGACTTATGTGTACATAATCCTAAGCTTTGCTCTAAGTGCAAAGACTAATGATACTACCTAGCTGATCAAATCGAAGCAGGTAGAACAGGGTTCAAACCGGAGACTTAAAGGTTGAATATCGAGTAGTCTAACATCTGAGTCACTGCCCCATATTGATAAAATGATTATCCACGAACAATACGTGATAGGATCTGGTTCTATCATAAATTAACTGAGTTTGAAATGTAGATATCAAAGGATGCCGAAGGTATCTTACTTACTGAGAGACCTAGACATCGTGAAAGATAGTAGTTCAATATGAAAATTTACCATTAAAACTGGTTTTTAAAAAAAAACATCTCGAAAATAAATTATCCACCTTAATCTTTGAATCCATTCCAGCAGATAACATTAAATGACCAGTATGAGGGAACAGGCGAATTGCTGCAACACCACGTGCGTGTGCACTAATCCATTCATGAATTTGTCTTTTAGGTAAAAAGCATCTTTCTGGTGGATCAGTTGCTCGTAAATTCACATTCGGTATATCATGTGGTGCATGCAAGAAACTTCTACCCTATCAACATTAACATCAGTTGGAATAAAGATAACACAATATAAAGAAAACTAATAAAATTCACATTACAAATTACAGAATGTAACTGTGAATGCATTTACTCCTTATTGTCTTTATAGGTTATGCTTTTACAAGCGGGGATATTATATTAAAATTGAAACAAAATTTATCGAAAACATAAGACTGATGATTATGATAGGACTTAATGAAATAACATTAGAACTGAAGATTCAAAGGAAAATAAGTAAAAAAAATGCATATTTGTGACAGTGCAATTGATTTCTGCAGTCGTTTTACCACCTAAGGTCGAAAAACCGATAAATCATGAAGATTTCAACTAGGAAGTCAACAAACTTGCCGATGACACGGATTAGTCTCAAAGCCAATGACTTCATTGAGCAGCTTTCTAGCACTTTTGTAATCTACTTTTTTGCCGACTAAAGGATCAATAATGGTAAGGATGTTGAAAACACAAGTACTGCTTGACCTGAAATACATTATATATATATGAAATATTTTATATATTACTACCATTGAATTAACTGCTTCTATGAGTGTGGTGTTCATCTTTTTGCGCTAATGAGGTGTGGCAACTTGGACCGATGCATATACGTGCCTGGTCCTAGATTGTGAATCGTCAGTCAGTCAGCTACAATGTAGGACCAGGCACATGTATGCATCGGTCCAGATTACCATACCGCATTAGCACAGCAAGATGAACACCGGATTCATAGGAGTGGTTAGGTCAAAGGTGGTCAGTCAGTCAGTCAGCTACAACGTAGGACCAGGCACATATGTGCATCGGTCCAGGTTGCCATACCTCATTAGCACAGCAAGATGAACACCGGATTCATAGGAGTGGTTAGGTCAAAGGTTGCAATAAGGATATAGTATAGGAAGAAATAATTAGTTCGTAGAAAGAAAGATATGAAGTGATTTTAATCTCTTAGTTTAAGGGAAGACAGGGAGTGTATACACCGACGCCATTGTGATCGATTCTGAGCCATGTCACCAAGAGTCTCCAACCATTGGTTACGAAAGTCACGCGGACCCCAACCAAGTAGTCTGCATCTACCAACATGGCTCAGACTAGAAGTTAGTGACTTCAGGCACTGATGCCACGTTTTGGTTTGGCCGCCCCTAACTTTCTTCCAACCATCCCCTACACCGGTTAGCATTGCACGTCGTGGTAATCGGTGTTCAGGCATACGTAATACGTGGCCCAACCATCTCAGTCGATGAAGATTCATAACCTCATCAACTGATTTACCATCATTCCCTAATACCCTGCGTCTAACCTCACTATTACTTACCCGGTGATCCCAGCAGATGCCAGCAATATTTCTAAGGCATCTGTGGTCAAATACTAGTAGCTTACGGGTGTCTTCCACTCTTAAAGGCCATGTTTCGCTGCCGTAAAGTAAGACAGAACGGACTGCCGCGCAGTATACTCGTCCTTTTATTGATAGACGGATATCTCGCCTCCGCCAAAGGTGACGTAAGTTGGCAAAAGCCAAACGAGCTTTTCGAATCCGTGCTGAGATTTCGTCAGACACCAACCCATTAGGGCTGATCAGACTTCCAAGATAAATGAAGTTGTCGACGCGTTCGACTACTTCACTCCCTATCCTTAGTTCAGGTGTTGACGCAGGCCAGTTCTGAAGCAACAACTTGCATTTAGAGGGAGAGAAGCGCATTCCAAACATTCTGGCATTGTTGCTCAGTGCTACCAAAAGACTGCATTTTGTCAGCGTCTTCACCAAACAGGACTATGTCATCTGCGTATTCTAAGTCGATAAGTGGACCTCCTGGATGGAGATCAATACCCGAGAACTCAGTCGACGAGAACATTATTTCCATCAGTAGATCTATGATGAAGTTAAACAAAAATGGGGAAAGTGGACAGCCTTGACGGACACCACTTGAGATTGCAAAAGTAGATGACAGTTCGCCATAAGCTCTGACTCGACTAGTAGTGTTCGAGTAAAGAGCCTTCACAAGGTTTATGTACTTCTGTGGTACGCCTTTCAATGACAGACACTGCCACAGAATCTCGCGATCTACAGAGTCAAATGCTGCTTTTAAGTCAAGAAAGACCACCATTGTCGGACGCCGATAAGTATGCCTGTGTTCTAGAACCTGACGAATGGTGAATATGTGGTCGATGCAGCCACGACCAGGTCTGAAGCCAGCTTGAGTCTCTCGTGTTTGCAGTTCACGAGTCTTAGTTAGGCGTTTGATAATTATCGAAGCTAGTATTTTAGATATTATATTAGTTAAACTAATCCCTCTGTGGTTGTCACAGGATGATTTTGACCCTTTCTTATATATTGGGACAATAAGTGATTGTGACCAGTTAGATGGGATAACGTCTAACTCCCAGATCTTAGCTAAAATATTAGTCAACCTAATCGCCAAAATTGGACCACCATCCTTGAAGACCTCTGGAACCAATCCATCTGGACCAGCTGCTCTTCCTCGTTTCAGATTAACTATAGCCTTTTGAACTTCTGCTAGAGTTGGGGGACCTACTTCAATGTTCCATTCACACTGTCTGGGAATGGAGGGTAGTTGTAGAGTCGCTGAAGGCCAGCTGAACTGTTCCCTAAAATGTTCCGCCCATCGTTCTAAACGTCTGGACTGGGAGCAGATGAGAGTATCGTCTTTTTCCGAAATGATCTCACTTGCACTTGACTTATTAATTCCAGTTTCTTTTATTAGTCTATAAAGCTGTCTTGTGTTCCCTATAGTCGCAGCCTTTTCCATCTCTTTTGCTTTCGTTGCCCACCACTGCTCACGGTCGTTCTTTAGACTTTTTCTTAACCTAGATCTGATTTGTTGTCGCTCATCATCATGTTCAGAACCTGATGGGACGAGTTTGCCAGAATCCATCAGTGCAATAGACCTTGAAGAAATCTACTGGTTCTTTGTAACTCTGTGGTTTAAGTCCCTAATAGATTTCATTGCTGTTTCCACAGCTGTTTGTATATTTTTCCAAGCAACATCTGGGTCAGCCTCGTTTTCAGAACTACCTAAGTGTGACCTCAGTTGTTCCTGTAACCTATTTTTGGTTTTCTCGTTACTCAACTCAGTTCTAATGGGTCTTTTTAATGTGGCTTTTTTGCGTCCAGTGAGGCGCAGGCAGATGCGTGCCCGTATTAGGGCATGGTCGGAGTCCAAGCAGGTACTCCAGAATGAGCGACAATCTTCTACCGACCCTCTCCAACGATGACTGATGGCAATATGGTCTATTTGAGTCCATCGTTGGTTTGGTGTAGGGGGTCGCCATGTTAGACGATGTTTCTTCTTATGCTTAAAATTTGTGTTTGCTAAAAACAAACGATTGTCTGAGCATAGTTGCAGCAGACGATCAACATTATCTGTTCGCTGTGTCGGTATACTAAAATACCCACCTAAATGCCTTTCTGTTTGGTTTAAACTACCTATCTGGGCATTAAAGTCACCTGCTACGAGTACTATGTCTGAGCGTTTAGCTTTCTGAAGAAGTTCGGACAGCTTTCTGTAAAATTCATCTTTCACATCATCTGAGCTGCAGTCAGTGGGAGCGTAGGCAGAAACGACGAAAAGGCAACGACGTGTGTCCCTATCCTTCCGAGTTTTTACGGAGCCGTTTAGCCGAACAGCACATAGACGACTGTTGACGGGGATCCACTCTAGCAGTGCTTGTTCGGCCCTCATGCTTAGTGCTATGCCTACACCTGCCAGTCCACGAGAACTGGCCATCGGGTCACCAGATACACGTAGGGTGTATCTCGTTGGCTCTCCGTTTTGCCGAGGTGAGGTCAAGTGAATGACCACACTGGAATCCTGTATGCGTGTTTCGGAGACACAGCATACATCAATGGAAAGAGACTCTAGGGTTTTAGCCAAGGAAGCCTGCTGACCGATCTGACATAGAGTGCGTTTGTTGCATTTAGTCCTACCGCTCTTCAACCGACCTTTCTGACGTGGTAGGACCTTAAGGAACAGTTGTTCCAGTCAGTATAGCTCGGTTGCTTCATCAAGATAGGCAAGCCCGACCACCACATCAAGGTAGCAACAACGATCGGATGACTGACTGAGAACAAGGTACAAACATGAACATTGTGCTCAGTGCCTCAAATCACATTATTATTTTATATAGTGCATAACAGTTACCAATAATTCAAACACTACGTAGGAAATAAATCAGTTTAACCTGTGACGAATTAGGCAGTGGATGAGTACGTCTGAGGAATCACAAACTATAAAACAATTGCTCATTTTGCCTTTATACTTAATTCTCTCCTAATATGGTCAATTTGTAACAAAACATATTATCTTTTCATTTCCGAAGTAGGTGTAACTGGGTTTAAACTCGCAACTTATTTGCTGAGAGCTAAACACTTTCAATACTGTGCCACTATACTCCACAAATCTATTGGACAAAAAGTTAGCTAACCTGATAATCATATGGTGTTGGTATATGCAGTGTAGATTTTTCTTCAATTGGAGCTTCTTCGACAACTTTTCTTTTGCTAGCTTTCTTTGCTAAATATGCTTCCAAATAAACACGATCCTCTTCAGAAGGAACCGAAACAGTTACTTCATCTTTATATTTAGCCCATGGTCCAGTATAATCTTCACTCGTTGGATCCCAATTACTATCACGTTTACGTAGATCACCTTTTCGTTTCTGACGCTTTTCGAATGCAGTTTTTCCTAGAAAGAAAGATGTGACAAGAAGAAACATTTTTTGGTGAAAACAATAAAAACGTTCAACGCAAGACAACTCTTAAGTTTAAACTATACTTAGGTTTGGAAAAGACAAATAAAAAGCACTTAGAACAAGTACGTGTACTCAGCATTACATCGTATTTAGTGAATTTGTGTGTAAGAGGACTTTATCAGTCTATTAGCTACAAGCAATATAGAACCTGAAACATGTATCAGTTCAAATTATCATCAGTACGAGGTGAATTTTTAGGATGTAGTTATAATAAGTAGTAATAATAGCAGTGGTAATAAGAAATGTATACGAAATACAACCCAATAGCGAGTGAATTTGTGACAAAAAGTTTATTACGGAACTAAAACCCAGGACCCACGGAAAGGAAACGAGTGAGTGCATTTGCACCATTGATTAATTGTGAGTCATGCAACCCAATGTCTCTAACCATTATTCACAACGATTCCAAAGACCTTAATCAGGCAGTGTGAACCTGAAAACGTCACAGTCTAACAGGTCAGGACTTCAAAGACATTTAATACTGGTGTTTGTAGGATAAGTCAATGAATATTTGAAGAAAGGATAAGTACAAATATTCAAACCAACCTCACCTTCATTTTCTGTCATGCTTTCTGTCTCTCCAACTAAACGTCGATCAGCACCTCCTTCAACAGAAGGATCTTCTGCGTAACCTGTTATAAATAAATAGAAATTAAATTACCATAAACTCACCATAAGTCATAAAAGTTCTATGCTGGTTTTCAAAAGCAAACTTATTAACGTGAGCCTCTTCAACATATCCAGTTAAAGTATTTTTAGGAGCCAATTGTTTTTCAGATTTAAACGGATTGACTGGACCGAACTGATAAAGGTAAGTTACATCGAAAAAGAACACTTACAGATGGTGCGAATAATTCTTCATAAGTAGGATTATGAATAAGTTCATGAGATTGTGGATCAACAGGCACAAGAGATAGAAACTCGTCCTAAAAATAAAACCAATCACATTACCATTCATACACATTACCTTATGCTCCACAACTGGCGCAACATCGATGGATTTAATCAAACTACTTTTTAAAAGTTGTGTTGGAGCAGTATCTTGTTTGGGAATTTCATCATCAGAGGAAGAGGATTCATACGTGACGATTCCATCCATTTCTTGTTTACTAGTAAAATTACTTACTATGTGAGAAAGGCCAATTCAAGTAGACGGAGCTCGGCGGAAAATGACAACTACCTAGAAGATAAAAAAACAAGAGTTAATGTCGGGTTAAGTAATCTTGACTATTTCATAAGCAGCAATTGTGAATACTATAGATGTCTGTACAAAGAACTCTGTACTGATTGATTACCTTTTTAAGCATTTAAAAATTTATATTCTGGCTTTGCTCACAAATGAAGAATTAAAAGAGATACTACTCTTCAAACACCAGTTTTTTGAATAATTTTTATGTGAAATTATTCGTGTTCCTGAATCTTCAGCAAATTAATGTAGTAACGTTTGACTGAATTCAAAACCATTCTTCCAGTAAAATTGTGGCTGAACAGTGAACACCATATGATTTGAACGTGAGATAGCTAAAATGCTGTAGACACATATTTATCTACCTGTACATCGGCAGCAAACCTAAAACCTAGAACGATGACACTAGAATATAGGAAGAAAATGATTGTGATGTTGAATCTAAATAGCTCCCAGAATGCCAGAGCAATGAAATAACGCATTGACAGAGTTTGGACGCAAAGATTAAAGATACCATGCAACCATCACCATTTAGACATTACATCTTTATAATTCTGTTAGAGAGCAATTTTGAGGGGCTTTCAGAAAATATAATCCCTGTAAACCATGAAACATTTATACCACATTGTTAAGCGCGATTCTGTCAACCATGAAATTGTCTACCTTATAATTGTTTACATCCAATTACGGTTTGAATGATCCCGGAATGGCTTGAAAGTTTCAGAATACAATAAAGCCTCCAGGAACTTCGGAACCAAACTTGGTTCAGTATCCTCATCTAGAAAAACCTTGACGGCAAATTAACCATTGATTCCGATATTAAACAATTTCAAAATATTGATGGTAGTAGAAATTGAGGATTTATAGTCTTAAAAAACTTATGAAAATAAAGTACATGTGATGACAATGTTCTAAGAGTTCTCAAGGTTGAATCGAATTTCATGATTCTAAGAAAAATTACTTCTATCAGTAACCCATCGATTAGAAATCAATTAAGATTGAAGGCTTTCCAGTAAGTTTTCTATGCTTCTTTGGATATTTATACTCAAAGATTCCAGAAGCAAAATGGGTGACGCGTTGAAATAATGATTCAGAAAATAAAATTTCGGTTTTTAAACGGTGTGAACACATAAATTAACGTCACGTAAGGCATTATTAATGACATGAGTAAAATGTATATTTCGAATATAAGTGAGCAGAATAAAACCTTGTAAATTCAATTCCTAAGTAAAATCTGCAGTGGGAGGAGTGATAGTTTACTGTGGCCTTGCAATGCAATGAAAACCTTCCTTTAAATTTGCAGTGGTTGGGACGTATTGAACAAACTCCCTGATGCCAGAATGCTAAAGAGAAGTAAAGCCCTTGACAAACGAGCTAAATTTAACTTTGTGGGCAAAAAGTCCTAAACGTACTACGAAAGAATGAACTATAGAGTTCAGCTTAATTATATATGAAAACAAACCATGAGCAAGTCGCAGCGCACAACTCAAATTAAGCGCACTCCAAACAGCAATATCAACTATGTAATATATCCAGCTTCGATGTGACTAGTTTTCATGAATTGATTAGTTTCTTTTTTATCGATTCTTTAAGTTTTGGCACGGCTCATTATGCTTATTATCGTTCAAGGTGTAGTAATCTACCTACTCCATTGCACGATGTTTAGTCATTTGTATGTTTTGCAATCTGACGGTTTGCACCTTACTCACAGCAATAAAATTTTCCGAGCAAGCAGGTATCAGATTATCAAGCAGTATGCCGGTTGGTTGCAGCGTGAAGAACAATAAGCAGTAAATTATTTCAAAAGATAATTTGTAAATGAACAAGATGACTTGCTAATAATGTAAACGGTGTGGGAAAACCGAGGTGTAGGAATAATTAGAGCATAAGTTAGTTACGATATTTGAATCAGGCACGGCCAGTCCATGAGGAGTTGGACTACATTACACGTTCCATCCGTTCACGTGGGCAACCAACCAGATCCGCGTGCTCATGGCTGGATGTGCAGTATTTACGAGATCACTGTAGGGCATTATGGATTTCGCGTTATGTTCTGCGTTTTGTGAGCTTCGAGTTTCGTCCGAGTTTCTGTTACTTATGTTGTGAATGATGCCGCTTCTACTAATACACTGTTGTAATTTATGTTGGAGTGTTTCTCTACCCGTTTCGCGCTCCTGTCTTTTTTGTTAGTAATCGTTTACGTTCCATAAAGCCATAGGTATGTTAATCTCATAACGATCACCTGGTGTACTAGTATATCGTGAGTGCAAGCTCAGATATGCTGCACTGAGTTTCAGGGTTCTTGTGTTTGAGTAACAAAGGTATGTGGTGGTAAATAAATCTCAATGACAAACAGTTCTGTAGGTCTTCAAGATTGATGCTGGCCTCATTAGTTTTACTAAACAAATCCTAACTGAAGGCATCATATAACGTGTGTGCACGCCATGCTTCGCATCCCTTGCGACTGCTTGATAGCTTAGGTAAGATACTTCTCAACATATCGACAACTTTGCAACTATATCTTCGAACTCATTCATTCCTGATTTCTGACTTGCCTGAATCTATATCCTTCGACTAAAGAGTTATCAAACTCCGAATATCTATGGCAACTTTAGGTGCCACGACGGCCACTAATGAAACGCGCTGTTTTCGGAAAAGTTTCCTATTTGAATGCATCCAGTTGCTGAAATAAGATATGAAGCAGATCGCGTAGTATAATGGTGCTATCGATTAAAGAAAATGCCTTTATTTCCTCGAAGTTTGCAGTTAAATAACCTAAACATACTTGGAATCATACGAGATCGTGAAGAAACCTTAATAAAGTGTGGTGAACTGGACGACGTTTAGATGCTTTGCGTGTTTGGTTTATCAGTTCCCACCAGATTCTAGGACTTCCTGGGAAATCAGGCTATCTAACGACCATCATTTTTGACTTTACCGGTGATTCACCCATCATGTGTGTGTTCTTTTGAACTATCAGCTTATCTTAAATAGTAACTTGTCTCCATATAAAAGTATGATACATGAGTCATGCCAGATTACGAGACATCAAAATGTTACAAGTGCTGCAGGATTTCCTGTGATCAGTAGCTCAGGTTGATACGTTATAAAACAGAAGAACAATGGTAAAGGCGCTTACATAATAATATGAATGGCGCGAATGATGATAATGCGTAGCAGGTACATGGTATTTTTGCAAGCATGAATATTAACTTACAGTATGAGTCTACAGATTAGATATTGCTTAAGGTTACTAAATAGATAAAGTGAGTGAATTTTTTTATCCAAATATCTATACAGATAAAAGGACAAGTAAATAAACGGGTTTGTGTTGGTACTGTTTCACGGATCCACATTTATTATTATCTGTCTAAACATGATATATTATAGAAACCGTAACCTTGGCAGAGGCAAATCTACCCTGAATTCCATCATTGTGTACAACATTCGTAAGGCTGAAGGAAAGAAAAATAAGATGTAGCCAAAATAACAAAAATATTAGTTGATAAAACTTGGGTTTATATTTTTGCAATGAGAGATGTCAGTGTATGCAACTTATAAGGTTGAACTCAAACTATTCAGTGAAGAAATTTCAGGTAAGCCACAGGAACCAAACTCGTCCTGGAGACCCCTGGGGCTACTGCCGGTCCCCAGTCCGGATAAGAGAGGAAGGTTAGTCATGAGGTTAGCGACTCTATCCCGTAGAAAACTAACTCGCTAAAAAACGCTAAACAGAAAAAGTTATTCAATCCATTTAAACTCCACCCTGGGAGTCAGAAGCTTATCATTTAGATGAGTTATGACGCCTCGTGGTGAAAGTCGATTTACATCGGAAGCCACGAAGCTGATTTCCTGTCTGACAACCAGGGCAACCATTTTTTCAGGCACATGGAATGCGCGTACAATGTGGGAGACCGTGAGAGTCTTCCAAATTGCTGTGGATTGCCATAGGAAATCGATACACTGTGCAAAGAATTATAATGGGGAAACAGGTCCCAGCTAATGGAATGTTGAAGAATAAGTTTAGCTGTATTTCGAAAAAAAGGCTACAACCAAGTGCTTCAGTAAACTCGAAAAGTTTTGCCACCATACTCTATATCAAAATGGCTCAACTAAAGACAATATGGACTGCCAGTTTAAGCAAATCGGTTACAGGCGTACTGAGATATGGTGTTATTCCCATAATTGTTCTTAATACCTACATTTTGCGTGTTGGTACTCTTGTGCATCACAAAAATCCAGCTATTAACTGACATGTTGTTAAGCGTAAAGGGAAACAAGAACACAAAGAACCAGTTATTGCAACTGCAAGATTAAAAGAAATCCACAACGCACTTAGCAACTCAGTAGTTTTCTATACTTAATACTGTGTACCTACTATTACCAATCATCCATTAATCTAGGCTGTGTCTTAACTAAGTATGCTTGACCGGAGATCGGCTAAATTGATGGATGAATTGGTTTAACGTGCATACAACATGGAATTAGATAAACAATATTTGTTCTTCAAACTTTTTAAACATCCTAAACAGGAAACTTACCTATAAAGCGCTATGGCGAAATTCACCAACCGTCTAAATTTAGCAGAAGTTAACTCCAAGCATGTGACGTATCAGAGCCGAACATATAACACCAAATATGTTGTGGGCCTTATTTAAAATAATTCTTTAAAATGCTCTCTTCAACCACTGAGTAAACAGGAAAATGCACTATGTGGCTCGTTATGTTTACATGACAACGTGTGATGTATTTTTGCTTGTCCAAGAATGAGAATGAAGTTCATGAGTGAGTACGTGTTTATCAACCCTTCTCTCGAAGTTATTCATTGAGGTATGGTCGCCTCTACTGGGAAAGTATTCTAATGAACTAGCACATAATGCAAAATATGAGAGCGTACCTGGCTTTTCGCTCTTTGCTGTTTGAAATTTGGGAGTTGCTTCAAAGAAAATGGTGGTGTTCTGGTAGGATCCTTCTGTTGAGATGACTTGATGGATTCACTGAATTTTCTACGATCAAATTACAAATGATCAAACTGCCTTCTTATTACCTTTAGCTCAGAGATAAAAGTCTGGTGTTGGAGTCTATCTCTATGGGGTTCATCACTTGGCACAATCACCCACTTAGTCGCTTGTCTATTAACTCAGCCTAAAAGATTTCAGTCTCTTTCGCAGAGGAGTGAGCAACAACATTTTAAACTTCAAGATGAGGACATGGGTACTTTAACGACAGCTTCAAGAACAATTTAGGGTTGATTACACCGAGTTATTATTGTATAAAGAGAAAAGCAGTATTTGTTTTGGCCTAATCTCCAACGAAGTGTGAGGTGGTGTCCAAGCCCTCTGCAGCCACTAACCAAAGACCATGCTGTAAGGATACGATCAGGGTGGATTTTCATGGAGTCTTTAGGATATTTGTGTACTATGAAGTCCCCTATTTTAAAATAGACCAACCCATCCATCA